CATTTTCTAAAAATTTTAATTATAATAATATAATAGTTCAAAAATCGTTCTTCATTGCTTTCAAAATGGCGGTTTGGTGATATCGTTAATTGAAAAGTACATTTACGAATCAAAATTTGAAAAGCTCATAACAGTGAAATATTAAAAAAATATTTTTTTAAAATACTTGTTAGTGAAAAAAACGTTCCTAATTTCTACCTATGGGAATCTATACATGACATAATCTTTAAAAAGGTCACGTGATTTAAGTGTCGTCTGACGTACTGCAATTATTTCACTTTTAATATTCAGTTCTGTTTCATCATCCTTCAAAATATTAAAAAAAAAAGTTTTACTTTTCTTAATTGCTATTTCAGTAAATATTTTTATTTTATGTATTTATTTTAGTTTGGGTCATACTTCAGTTAATTGATTTTTTTTTTTTAAGGTAGTAAGTGAACTTAAGATCTTAGAGACGAAATGTAAATTTCATAAAGCTTTTTGAAATCTAACTAAAAGTCAATAAAATATTAAATAATTGCTGAAAATAAGTTAATTTGTAAAAATTACTAGATAGTTAAAAACTTTAAAAAAATGCGTTCACTTAGATTTCGTAAATTTATGTCATTTCTGGTCATCCATAAGAGCTGTCATCACCTTGAGAGCTTCTCGATAAGGCAATAAAGATAAAAAAAGTGGAGAGCCTTCGTTAAGAAATGCTTATATATTGGTTTTTATGCTATAAGTAAGTAATATTTAGTTCAAAATCAGATTAATTTAACTTTAAATTTTCTAATTTTACTCAAATAACGTGTCACAAATCTATAATTTAATTTTGGAAGATTTTTAAAACCGATAAATTTGTTTCGTTTACAAATTTCTTAAAATTAAGAAAATTCCACTTTTAAAATTAAAAAAAAAAATTGAGCAATTATTTGACATTCCAATCTATATAATTTCTATCTCAAATACACCAGAATATCTTACTGATTGGAAATAATAAATTTAATCATTTAGCTTTCGATTAAAGCTAAAATGAAATCTTGAAGAATGCTTTTACACTTTTAAAATTTAATTTTAAACCATAGGTATCGAAAATTCAGTGGAGGTGCCTACTCTTATCAATCCCAGTTTTACAGTAAACGTGGGAAGAAGGAAGGGGACGTTCAGGCATTTGTATTTGCAGTTGAATCAAGCTCTGACTCTTCATCCCTGTTTTTGTTTGATTATTAGATTTGTGAACAATGCTATAGTAGGAAAATTACTGAATATCTAAAACATTGAAACAATTTAAACCCGAGCAACGACCACACAAAAAGGTTTTATGGGTGGAATTCCTTTATTAAGAATTATCGGGGATATCCGGCGTTACTCGAAATATCTCTAAATAATAGTTTGTTATTGACAATTTATTGATATTTTTCAGACATCTCATGGAAAATAAGTAAGAATAACCGAAAAACCCTGTGAGTTATTCAGCTAGAAAGAGAACAGGTTAAAATCATTTTGTGTCAACTCCACTATGTCTTCTAAACTGAGCAATGGTGAGAGGAAAATGATCATTCAAGCCTTCAGTAATGGTACCAACATTCATACTCTTGCTTCCATCTTCAAAGTCTATTCAAGAACCATCAAGGCAATGGTGAATAAGTTTAAAAAAGATGGAAAAGTAGAGAGGAAAACTGGATCATGAGATCACAACTGGAAGAGGGATCATCATTTCAAGTTAGAGCTAAATAAATTCTTATTGTTCAAACTAGAGTCCAATCTCAGAGAATTCCAGTAAGATATCTTTAATCATTTGTAAAAATACAACAGTTCAAAGTTTAATCTTACAATTGGACAATTTTGCTGTTATACACAGTATAAATAATTTACTATAATTAAGCAGCAGTTTTTATTCTAAGTAAGTTTTATTAAAAAAGATGGACATTCTATGTCTATTGAATTTAACTTTTCGAAACTGAGAACTACCTTCCGCCAAGCTGGCTGCTACAGATGCAAAAAAAAAATCCGTAATCCAGGTTGTGTCCAAACTTTCGACTCATGTCATCGTTAGTAGTGAATAATTCATTAGAAAAATTGATAAATCTATAATATTTTTGTTATATTAGATAAGAATTAATGCAACACAAAATTGCAATCTGCTTTCAATGACACCGCTAAATTTATAAAACTTAATAAAAATACTACAAAATACCAAAAAAATGTAAATAATTTTATCTTTGAATAAAGCAGAAATAAGATAGGTTAAACTTAAAAACTCTACTCCCCCCACGGCATGAAGATGACTCATGTCAGTCGAAACCTTGATACACAGCCTTAATTTTGGATATTTTTAACATCTGCAGCAGCTAGGTTTGCGGAAGGTGACCCGCAATCTGGAAAAGACGATGGATTAATTCAAGAGATATAGAATGTTTCTCCTTTTTAATGAAACTTGTTCAGTAGAACAATTTCTGCCTAATTATACTATCTATCTATCTATCTATCTATCTATCTATCTATCTATCTATCTATCTATAATAGTTGCATATTTAGAAAGCAATCTATCTTTAATACATGTTTCGTTGCACAAAACTGAGTGGATACTTTTTGCTTATTTTTTTATTTCAATACACAACATATTCGTTGTGAAAACAAATGTGATACATATACCACCCACAACAAAAAACATTTAAAAGTAATGGGTCCTTATAAAAAAAATTAAAAAAACAATAAACCGACACTTATGAACAGTGCCACAATGGCCATATTTGGACATTATTTTTAGCAACTATTATACCGTCTACAATAGCATGTGCACACCATTTAGTAGTATAACAAAATAATAATAATAATAATAATAATAATAATAATAATAATAATCCTAGAAAATGGCAGTTTAACCAAAAGTGCTCGGAGCTAACAAAATTTTGAACAATTTTTACATTCATTAAGTCCAAAAAAAAGACACTTGTATGTATACAAGAAAAACATAATAAAAAGTAAATAAAATGCTTTGTTCAGTGACACACACACACATGTTTCTATATTTATAAATGGAGAGTGCTCAGTATTACGGATAGAATGTTTATTGATATAGACATTGTGGACACGGGAATCAACACTTCATGGTGACTCTCATTTTCAATGCCATCTTCAAGACATAAAATCTTGCTCTCTTTCTCTCGCACTCTCTCTCTTTCATATATGAAGATGATGAGACAAAGTGGAAAATTTTATTAACGACGCGTTTCGCCGGAGAGTGTATGCTCTCTTCGGCTTGCTCAAATTCAAATGAAAGAAAAACAAAACTGTGCGTGAGGAAAATGCACCCGGTTCTCTGGCGAAACGCGTCGTAAATAATTTTTTTTACCTTGTCTCATCATCTTTATTTTTGTTTCGATATTATTATACATCCCCCCATATATATATATATATATATATATATATATATATATATACATATATATGAAAGACAAAAGGAAAACTTGTTTTTTTATAGATATATTTTATTTATATATTAATTTTACACACACACACACACATATATATATATATATATATATATATATATATATATATATATATATATATATATATATATAAAACATACACACAACCCATACATCCAGTTAAAAAGTAAAAATAAAATCATCCTTGATAATGGCTAAAAGTATAGCCTAAATCGCTCGGAATTACAGAACATTTGGACAGTTTCTACACACTCTGTATCCAGAAAAAAAAACACTTGTGCGAACACAAGAAAAAATTAAAAGCTTAATCGCAATACCTTGTCTGTCGTCTTTAATGAAACTTGTATAAATGAGGGATTGCTGCCTAAATACACACTATATATATATATATATATATATATATATATATATGTTGCGTCAGGTATTGAGTGCACACCTTTAACGATATATAAAATGGCAGAAACAACTAAACATATTGTTACGCGGCTCTGCCACATGTTAACATTCTCTTTTCTCTTACAAACGTACCGAGAACATCATCATGCAATCTGAAACAGCAAAGGAAAGGTACACCGTGTTTATAACACTCGATCGATTAACTACAGAAATTTTGAGATAAACAACTTCTTGAAAGTAACCAAATCCTGGCGAGGAATGGTGTCATCCATGTCTAAGAGAAGGAAACGTTTTAAATGGTCATACGGCATAAGGACAATCGAGTTCATCCTACAGTTCCAGGATCTGATCAACCAAGATCCCTGCAAGTCGATCAGGGCTATTGCCTAGTACTTCAAGGTGGCAGAATCCACTATTTAACGTGAACATAAGCTACAAGACTAATTTGAAGGGAGGGTCATTTATGCCCGACAAGCCGAGGGAGAAACGTGTTGATCAGATCAAACTCAAGAACTTCGAGGAGGCGGTATGCTGGTTCTGCTCTGAAGAGAATAACTTCGACTGAGATCAGAAGTTGAACAGGCGGAGAAAAATGTGGTTCTGCTCGGATCAACGGTGATATAAGCAAAGTTAACATTGTCTGAGATGGTCTAAAGTTTTGTGAGCAACGAAGGTCATATTATACAACTTCACTTCTTCCTGCATTGCTTTAGGATTAATGCTACCGCCTACATCAAAATACTAGACACTTTGATAACGCTCTGGGTCGAGAGGTGGCTCAGGAGAGGTCATACATGTTCTAGCAGGACTCTGCTCCATCTGATATGGCCCACATTACCCCAGAGTATCTAACCGTGAATTCTCACGACCACGTGGTCTCCTAGCTCTTCTAATTTGAATTCCCTGGGTCAGGAGTAATGTAGAAAGACCAAACGTCAGCCACACAATACAAAGGACTCACTGAAAGCTGTCATCGTGGACGTGATGACCAGCATGAATGAGAGCCACCTGATAGTCATTTCCAGGGCCGCATCGGAAGCGTCTTCAAGTTTAACATTTTCTGTTTTTTTTTTGTTCTTTTTTAAGTTGAACATGTGTACAACATTTTCTTTTAAAATATACTGAATTTTATTTATTTATCTTTGTTTTAAATTACATTCGGCCTTGCTACAATAAATGATAAACAATTAAAGGACAAAAACGGTGAGGCGCGTGGAATTCAGGAGGAATCAATAGTAGTAAAGAGTCGATAGCATAAAATAAAATAATGAAAATGAAGGATAAAAATAGAGAGAGAGAGAGGGGGGAGAGATAGAAAATTTTTTTAGAAGACCTATGAAGAAAAATTAAAATATAATCTGAAAGAAAGAGGAAAAGAAATAAGAAATTAATCCAAAAGCAAAAAAAAAAAATGAAATGAAACGAAGAAATTGGAAAATAAGAAAAATTAGAAAATAAAAAGGAAAATTGAAAGAAGGAAAGAAAACTAGAAAGAATAGATGGATATGAAAAAAACAGTGATAGATAGATAGATAGATAGATAGATAGATAGATAGATAGATAGATTTGTAAGTACAAACTGTGATATATACACCACTAGTTAGTTAGATATAAACTGTGGGATAGATGGTAAGATATCTATCTATATATCTATATATATATATATATATATATATATATATATATATATATATAACCCGGATATAAGAGAGTTGTCGGGACCGGAGAATAAGTCTCTTGTATCCGGGTTTCTCTTATATGCGGGTTTGGTCTATTTTGTTTAGGTAAGTATGGGAACACTTTGGGACCAGAGAAAATCTCTCTTATATTTGGGTTTCTCTTATATCCGGGTCTCTTATATCCGGTTACACTGTATATATATATATATATATATATATATATATATGTGTGTGTGTGTCTGTGAGTGTGTGTGTGTGTGTATATATATATATATATATATATATATATATATATATAAACTGTATGAGATAGGCACACAGACATATGTTGATAGATAGAAGATTATCATAGAAAGACATGGATAGATAACAGATAGCTCTGCTAGGTAGATAGAGAGATAGGTAGATAGGGACAAATTGTGACATAGACATCGCTAGCTATATAAATGTAATAGAAAGATAAAAAAAAAACAATATAAAGTAGAGTAGATCGACAGATAAACAGTGTGAGATAGATATGAACAGGTTGTGATAGATAGAAAGATATATAGAGACAGTATGAAATAGATAAATAGATAGATAGATAGATAGATAGATAGATAGATAGATAGATAGATAGATAGATAGATAGATAGATAGATAGATAGATAGATTTGTAAGAACAAACTGTGACATAGATGTGGGATAGATGGTATAGTAATTATACAGATAGATAGATAGATAGATAGATAGATAGATAGATAGATAGATAGATAGATAGATAGATAGATTTGTAAGAACAAACTGTGACATATACATGTGGGATAATTTGGTATAGTAATATATATTATATAGATAGATAGATAGATAGATAGATAGATAGATAGATAGATAGATAGATAGATAGATTTGACAGACAAACAGCTAGCTAGCTAGATAGATAGATAGACAGACATACAGACAGACAGACAGATAGATAGATAGATAGATAGATAGATAGATAGATAGATAGATAGATAGATAGATAGCTTTGACAGACAGCTAGCTAGCTAGCTAGCTAGACAGACAGACAGAGAGAGACAGATAGATAGATAGATCTGAGCAAAACAAGATCGATATATTTTCCAGATAGACTGATAGTATAACAAGATTTACAAGTTTATTTCTTTACAGAAAAGTAATATTAAATTATATTTTTCTAATTACTATTAAGGAAGCAGAAATAGTAATAAAAATATGAGAAGAATGTAAATAAAGCTAGAGATGAGATAAAAATGTTCAGTGATTGAGTAATTAAATGAATAAATGAAATAAAATCAAAGAAAGGAAACCAATTGGTAAATAAATAAATCAAGGTTTTTTTTTTATTTTGCTATGATTATTATTAATAATTGTCTGACTTACGACTCGCTGGTCATGGTGAAATGAAAGGTATTCTTTTTTCTTTTTTTTTTTTACTTCTTATCAGGCACTTGATGAACGTTGGCACTGCGTGTAAAAGATTTTCCTCAATTGGATGATATCGACTTGAAGGAGAAAAAATATCTTGTCTTCCCTGTTTTAAGTCAGGGCACGTTTTCACCTTACATAGCCGTGCCTAGCATTATTCGACATTTCACATCATGTATCACATCCTGAACTTCATCGGCAGTATTAGGAATCCAGAGTTGTTTTTTTGGTTTCGTTTTTTTTTTTTTTTTTCTTTTTTTTCTTACTTTTTCTTGCATCTGTCGCAAAGTAAAAAATGAAATCGTTATGACCAGATTCAGCTTGTAGTAGCATTAATAGTAAAAGTGGTGTGGTCGGTGTTGTCGGTGATGATGTGTATCCTGGTTGCATGGCGATGCTGTTGTTGTTGTTCCACAACTCAGTAATATGGAGACTGTGGATCATTGACGATAGATTGCTGTTGAGATGGGGCTGCTGCCGGCGAAAATACATATGCTGGTAGTAAGCGAATGATTTGTTTTCGTTATGTGGTTGAGGCCAGATGTAATGTACTACAATGGTGATGTTAGTTTACAGGATGATAGACATTTTAAGAGTGACTAGCTCCTGATGAGTAAAAAAAAAAAAATGAAAAGGATGATGCAGTAATAAATTTAAAGAAGAAATTTAAAATTTTGGAATTGTTTGGTTGGTAGCAATGTAGGAAATTAAAAGACAGACCTTCTGCCGGACAATTCAGGTTGATGGGGGTCATTATTTGGTTACTAATGAAAGAGTGGAGTTTGATAGTAACAGGTAGGCAAAATGTTAGCGTCTCCCAGAAGCAAATGTCGTCTGCTTTAACCAATAAAACTCAAATGGAATATCGTCAATTTTAAATGTGGAGAGAAAAATAAGAAACAAAAGTGTTTTTTTTTTTCTCTTAGAGTTGGTTGATTTCGGTTGCATATGAAAACGAAATTGTCAAAAGATCAAAGAATATTGGTTATTTTGTATAAGTCATTGTGAATGTTTAACATGGCTTCATTCATTTTTGCAGGAAGTTTTTTTTAATTTAATTTAATTTATTTATTTTTATTGTATTCTCATAAATGTATGGTATAGAAAAACATAGGGATCGTCATGATTTACATTATCTTCCCCACTAAATTACAAACTTTTTAATATTCCTGTATAGGATGTCTTAAAACTTCCGCATCGGATGATTGAAACACACACACACACACACACACACACACACACACACACACACACACACACACACACACACACACATATATATATATATATATATCTATATCAAAAGTACTTGAACCAAAATAAGAAAATATGAACTTCTGACAGTTTATCCACAACTTTGAGCGAAAAAATACAATAAAAAATTAAACAGAAAGGACGTTCTTTTTAATCGTTTGGATGAATACTTGCTGCCTAAATATACCTTATATATATATATATATATATATATATATATATATATATATATATATATATATATATATATATTATACAGGGTGTGATGGATAAATTATTATGTAAATTACGCAAAATGAAAATAACACTGACATTTCATTTTAACAGATATATTTACCAAAATTACGCAAAAATATCTTGAAAGACTAGAGAGTAAATAAATTTATTGAGTAAAGTCGCTATTGTCTTCAACTACGGCCTCCAGACGACTTCGAAATCTCCTGCAACTCTTCCGGGCTGTCTCTTTGTTTAAGTTGGTGAAAACTGCCATAATCCTTGCCTTCAGTTCATCTTTGGTTTTACAATGATAAACACATAATAATCAAGGGTGTTGCATTCTGGAGAGTTAGATGGCCAGATGTAAGAGATGATGTGGTCGCAGAAATTATCTGTCAGCCATGACTGAGTTCGCCTGCATGTGTGGCATAGTGCAGAGTCCTGTTGCCAGACATAGGGTTTTCCAGCAGCCACCCTCTTGACCCAGGGCAGCACTAACTCTTCAAGGCACTTGATGTAGGCCTCGGTGTTGATTCTGAGGCCTTATGGGAAGATGAATGGAGGCATGACATCGCCATCACTAGTGATCACTCTAAACGCCTTCGTAATCACCATTAGACTCATCAAACTCTTTCCAAATCCTTTGCACGGTCCTCAGCTTGACACCCAAACACTCTTAAATGTTCGTATTGGAGCTTATGGCGCGAATGCCAAGCAGTACATCATGCCGTTTCCAAATTTCTGGCGTAGTGAATTGCGTTATGATGCTCTTTTTCTCACAGACGGTGCCCAACTGACCCGTGAAATTAAAACTATAAAATGGCAACAATTTACCCATCGCATCCTGTATATACAACAACAAAATTGCTTTCAACAAAAAAAAGAAAAAAAAAAGTGGTCGACCAGGATATTTATGAAATATAACATTTTTAAGAAATAATGCAATTTTAGGGAAAATTAACGGTTTTTAAGAAAAATATAATTTCTGTAAATTAATTAAGTTTTACAATCCAGTCCCTTGACGAGAGGATGCAATCTCAGCGAAGTAGAGACAAGTGAACATTTAATTTTATTTATTATTATATGTGTGTGTATGTGTGTGTGTGCATGTGTCTGTGTGCGCATGTATATATTTATATATTCTCTAGATTTATAAAAACTAGTATAAACCAGAGTAACACACGCACGTACGCACTTACATATGCGCACATACGTAAGAAGCTCATATTACATACACCGACATCTTAACGCATATATATATATATATATATATATATATATATATATATATATATATATATATTGTATGTGTTTTGTATACATTATAAACGCATGCATAAATTTTAAAAAATGAAATTCATTTCATTTTTTAAAATTTATGCATGCGTTTAACACAGAGTTTTGATATTAAATATACAATTTTTTTCACAGAGTTTGATATTACAATTTGAAAATTTCTCAAATGCTTTCCGATTCCGTGAGGGATAGGATTTTTTCTTATTTATTTCAGAAGTTCAATGTAAAAAGAGGTAGCGTAACAATTGTAACCAAATTTGTTGTGCTTCATAATTCATATTTGGAAAAATGTGTTTAGTTAGCTTATATTTATTAAGAGGTGAATTGTTTTTTTATGATCAGGCTAAAACCGGTCTTCTAATTTAGTAGTAACTTTCTTATAATTACATATTCCGGTCTAAATGTTTAATTACACACCGGCACTCGCATGTGTGAGCGCGCACGCCCCCCCCCCCGTGTCAAATGTCAATGGATAAGTGCTTAGTATTGTATAGGACTCCATTTAGGCCGGTGAGCAACTCGATGCGTCATCGATTTGTTTTGTGGCTATTTGTAGATTCAATATTTTGCGTGCGAATAAACTAACTCCCACGGTCCATAAATGCACGTTTTTTTGTTTTTTTTTTGGATTACCCTATCTTATGGGGTAGGACGCCCTCTAGGTGATGTTCTATTCAGGACTACAAACGGTAGGGACATAACTCTTCCCTATTTTTTTGCTCTAGGATTCCGTAGGTACAAGACATTGTCCAGTTTTTTCTCGGGGAGCACTATATGAGTAGCTGACGACTTAATTTCAAACCAACTACGTGAGCGCATGCGCGTGCGCACACACACACACACGCGCGCGCGCGGACGCTAATCCCGTAAATGTTTGTTCTTTTCTTTTCTTTTTGGAGTTATCTGTATACACGTAAATAAAAATTTCTCTTTTTTGAGCTATATTGTTTTTTTTTTAAAACCCTCCACGTGTTGAATTCATTTATTTTGAAAGTTCTCACTTGCATTCACAACAAATTGCAACTATTGCTGCAATATTTATTTTGAAAGAGAACAATCACATCTGCTACAAAGTAACACCTCCCTGCTAAAGGGCTCATATCAAGCAAAAGTGGTAGCCCAAACATTCGTCGACATTCACAGGACATATTGAGGGCAAGAGGAACAGAGGTATGCAGCGAGTAACCTACCTAATGTAGAACAAACTGTTCTAAATCTTGTGTAAGTGTATAGCAGAACAGAAATTAAGAGGGGTAGTGAAAAACTTACTAAGAGCTACGAAGGATAGGAAGTTGTGGAGAGCCATAATCGCCTACTTCCTGTAGAGACACAACACGATCAAGATGTTAATATTCAAACAAAAGGTTAAAAAGAAAGCTCCCATCAATACTGGCAAGCACAAAGTTATTGGACTTGAGAAATCTATTTTCCTGAAAAATTGTTTTAAAAATAAGATGTTATAAATTTTAACAGAAAGTAGCACTAGCTGTTCGGTCAATGAATAAAGAAATGGTTAATATTACCGTTGTAGACTGGCGCTACATATTCGCAAACAAAGAACTGTATCAAACACTATAAACCACATCACTTGAAGACTACCAACAGCAGCAGCAAAAGAACTAAAATGGACAGTACTTGTAACTCGAAGAGAAAATAATGTCATAATCAAGATGTTGATATTCTACACTACTTCACATAAAAGGTGATGAAGGAAGAACCCCACCACCACTACCACCATCAATACGGGAAAGAGCGATAACAGCTACTGGACTTGAGAAAACTATTTTCCTGAAAGATTTTTAAGAGAAAGATTTTATAAATTTCAACCGAAAGCAGTACTGGCTGCTCGGCCAATGAATGTCAAATGTTTCCTTATAGGGAAACGGCTAATATTACCATTGCCTCTATCATATGGTGGTCCGTATTATTGGGATCGCTGTCTGAACCTAACAAATGTCTCTATTGTCACCGTTGTGCTTTAATTAACCGGAATCATACGCACACACTGGGAGTCAAGAGGGTGGCAGCTAGAAGTTTATAAACCATTGGCCAGTTGTTAGTATTTATCTTGTTCTCAAATGGGTTGAACAGGAGCCGAGCACATTTTTGTTGACCAAACTAATCGAAACCAACACCGAAAGTTAACTAGAAATACGTTTCTAGAAATAACAGTATGCCATTATTTTTTTAAGCTTAGTAATAAGGGATAAGCTGTTTATATCCGATCTGCGCTGTTAACTGATGGCTGTAGATTGACGGTTTGAATAGTTAGAGAAAAAACAACTGGAATTAAAATGAAAGAAAAACGAGTCAAAGATTAATAATGGTTGACAGTGCTTAAAAAATAAATCACAATATTAATGCCGCCCAGCTATGGGTTAAATAGCAAAGCAGATTGA